GGGCAACAGAGCAAGACTGTCTCAAAAGAAAAAGAAAAAAAAATTCTTTGAGGTCTTATGGTTCTCAAAAGTAGCTAATATTATACCAAACTTTTGGGAACCAGGATATGACTCAACTGTCCCACTAGCACATAAAAAGATGATTCTAATGAACAAAAAGTTTTACATCTAATGTAATGTTATGTTCTAATGAACATAAGTTTTACATCTCTGGACATAAAGCAGGTACATATATATGCATACCTATGAATAACATAAGCCACTATAATATACAATGGCAGCTGAAATTTAATAAATATTCAGTAACAGATGCTTACAAAACTTTTTTTTTTTTGAGATGGACTCTCGCTCTGTTGCCCAAGCTGAAGTGCAGTGGCACAAACTCAGCTCACTGCAATCCCTGTCTCCTAGGTTCAAGAGATTCTGCCGCCTCAGCCTCTCGAGTAGCTGGGACTACAAGCACGTGCCACCACGCCCGATAGAGACAGAGTTTCACCATGTTGGCCAGGCTGGTCTCAAACTCCTGACCTCAAGTGATCTACTCACCTCAGCCTCCCAAAGTGCTGGGATTACAGGCATAGGCCCCCACGCCAGCCTTAAAACTTTTAAAAAATATATTAAACTATTCTACTAAGTTCAAATAAAAAAGTTAAGATTTGAAAATTAAGCAAAGATTCAGGTTTCCAAGTATAAAATTGTTTATTCAAAACTATTCATGAGGAAAACTTATTCCAGGTGGAATGGCTCCCGTCTGTAATCCCAGCACTTTGGGAGGCCAAGGTGGGTGGATCACCTGAGGTCAGGACCAGCCTGGCCAACATGGTGAAACCATGTCTCTACTAAAAATACAAACGAAATTAGCTAGGCGTGTTGGTACATGCCTGTGATCCTAGCTACTTGGAAGGCGGAGGCAGGAGAATCACTTGAACCCAGGAGTGGAGGTTGCAGTGAGCCAAGATCCCCCCATTGCACTTCAGCCTGGGTGACAGAGCAAAACTGTTTCAAAAGAAAAGAAAAGAAAAGAAAAGAAAAGAAAAGAAAAGAAAAGGACTCAGGCCAGTGGCTCACTCCTGTAATCCCAGCACTTTGGGAGGCCAAGGTGAGTGGATCACTTGAGCTCAGGAGTTCGAGATCAGCCTGAGCCACACAGGGAGACTCTGTCTCTATTAAAAAAAAAAATTCGTAAGACTCCTGACATCGTAAGTGAATAACATACACCCAGATTATTGATAAATATTTCAAAAGCTCCCACACTCATTTCATTAGCTAGTGATTTATACACTTTCCCTACTATGTGCAGTTTTGTAACACTCAGCCAGCATCTACCTTCCAAATACCAGTCTTGTATCAACCAGGAAGAGACAAATAAGGAAGCAAAGCTGGTTTCATTTTAAGGTATAGTTTCTCTATTAATTAATGTCTCATCAAAGGTGAATAGTAGGCCAGGATTCTCCTTCTAATTTTATTGATCAACAACGACTGGAAAATTAAATGCCCCAGTTAATCAAACTGATTTATTAAATATGGAGACACTATCTACAATTTTTAAGTAAAAATGACAGTTCTTTAGGCATTCATAGGTACAATTATTTAAGTGCTGTTGATGTAGTTGGTCAGAAAACTGAACTAATTTTTCACTAGCCACAAGACATATCTTAGAAACTGCTTGTTGAAAAAATTCGTGGTAAGCTGTTTACTTGTGCAAAACAGACAAATGAAAAAACGAAGAGAAATAATTTCAGCCATTTGAGCTTTCTGGTTGCCTGAACAACGAGGGGGAAAAATGATTTAAAAACAAACTGGAAGACACTGTTTTATTTTATCCTATAAGGCAGTGGTTCTGAGAGTGCTGCTCTCTGGATCAGCAACATCAGTTATCACCTGGGAGCTTGTCAAAAAAAAAAAATTCTGAGGCACCACCTCAGACTTACCGAATCAGAAACCCTGGGGCTGGGACCCAGCAATTTGTGTTTTAACAAGACTAACAGGTGATTTTGATGCGTATTTAAGTTTGAAAACCCCAGTGAGAGTCAAGAAGATATTCAAATTTGTTCTGTGGAAATTGCCACTATCACCAAAAGCAATGAAATATTGTCTGTTTCCCTGCACATCCGAGTTCCTCCTGGCTGGGTCTTATGATGAAGGAATTTTCAAAGACTTATTTGACCTAGGAATTTATTTTAGCCCCAAGTAAAATGGAACACAAAACATTTTGTCAGAGGGAAAAAAGAGCAAGGAATTTCCTTTTTGCTATTGTTCACAACCTGTTCCAAGTGATATACCTTGACCAACAAATCAACAATTTAAGGCCAGGTGCAGTGACTCACTCCTATAATCGCAGCACTTTGGGAAGCCGAGGCGGGAGGATCAATCGAGCCCAGGGGTTCGAGACCAGCCTGGCCAACATGGCGAAACCCCGTCTCTATCAAAAATACAAAAATTAGCCTGTGGTGGCGCATACCTGCAATCCCAGCTACTCAGGAGGCTGAGACATGAGAACTGCTTGAACCTGGGAGGTGGAGTTTGCAGTGAGCTGAGATTATGCCACTGCATTCCAGCCTGAGCAACAACAACAACAAAATTAACAAGATTAACAACTGAAATTTACAAAGAGCTATTTCACCAGGTATTCTGCAATTCACTTGAGAGAAGAGTATTCTGTCACAGAAAACAAGACCTCTGCCAACATCTACATTAACATCAAGTATTGGAACACAAGTTTTACCCACCTGAAGATGAGAGGTAACATAAAGCCCATCTAAAATGGAAGACTGCACTTGGTCCCTAGCTTCCAAGATTCTTCATTGGCCCTTCCCTTTCTCCTATATGGAAGTAAATCTGATATCTCCTATATCAGATACAATGCAAACATTACTTTTCAGTTAAGCTATTTGATAATGTAATGGCAATTCTTGTATTAACTAAACTGACTTAGCTGCAATGTAACATGATAACTATAGCATACATACTATTCACAGATGCACCTGTGTGCATACACAATACCCTGCAATGCTTGAGCCTTTAACACCAACTACTATTGGCCTACTTTGTGTTTTTAATGCCCTGATTATGTACAAGGGTGTTGTTCTTGGAATTAAATCCTGAGATATAATGATATAATGATGTGGCTTATGTCAGTTACTTGCTTTCATTCATGATCCATCCTTCCCAAATATGGTAGCTGTAGCTCAGTGGAAAGAGCATTAGTCTGGGCATCAGAAGACCTGGATCCTAGCCCCAGCTGTGGGACCTTGGACACGTGACTTAACTTCTTGTCCTCCACCGATTTAGCAGTAAAAATGAGACACCACCTAATACCCAAAGGTGTTGTAGGAAATGAGATAATAAAAATTTTAAATGTGTTGTACATCATAAAGCTGCATACATCCATTCACTCCACGCACATTTATTGCTATTATTTAGCAGGCTATCTTCTAGGCACTGAGGATAAAGGTGTAAACAAGAAAGCAAAATCCCTTTCCCCAAGGGAGCTTACATTCTGGTGGGAAGGTAAGATTTATTATTTAAAAAAAGGATGGTTATCCTCCTTCCTCATTTAAGTTTTTTTTTTTTTTTATGTTAAGAATTCAGATTTTTGACAGCCTTCTGTGATTTTATGGAGACTTACGATTATAGGATAAAGGTAACTTTTGAACTCAAGAACAATATTGTTAGGCAAAGGTCAAGTAGATTTATCTGACTTGTTTAATAACTAAGGCTTCCTTAGTTGTAACCAGTTCCTCACACAAAATAATCATTATCTCTGGAGATAGAAATTATGCTAACCTAGAGAAGACAGAAAAATAAATTTCTGTGATGAGAGCAAAGTATATCACACTAGATGCCATGTTCAATAATTAAGAGGAGTAGACAATCCTATTTTTCTACATCTGTTACAGTTACTCCTGGAACTGAATTGGCCAAAACTGACCTGATCATATTCCAGAATTTTTTATCATTCCTGATAAAAAAAAAAAAACTGACTATGATTGCAGGAATGTCAAAAGAAGTAGTCTCCCAGTCTATCAAAGGAATGACTAGTCCAGTAAACGGCCAATTTAAAGGTTCCGAAGGACAGAGGTCCAAGTAGCCTATTTGGGAAAAAAAAAAAAAAACAACTGCGTTGGAACCATACTGCAGTCTCCCTTGAATGCAAAGAGCTTTAAAGAGGCCTGTTCAGAACGTCACCAGGTTCTAGGAAAGGGGGGGAAAAACAAACAGACAGACACCCCCACCACCACCACACTCACTCACACACCGAAAACCTCACTCAGAGCCAAATGCTAATCCTTCTGATCCCATTCAGGGTAAAAAGAGGGCAATCCATTTTTACAGTAGATATATCCATTTCTTTGTTTGAGTCCAGACACATTATGCGCAAATCTACAAGCAAGGCTGACGCTGCTGCGGATCAGAGAGCTGATACGTACCACCTCCCCAGGAGAAGACAGTATGACCCTGCTAGGGGGCTGCAAGCAGAGGAGGGTATTTTATTTAAGAGGGATGGGAAAAAAGTGGTCAAGGAGGAGACTAGGATTAGAACGGTGGGGTCCCTTCGCCCTTCCCTCAAAACCCCGACTGTCGAATATATATATTCTCTGCGGATACCGCATCCTTGGAAGGCCCTACGCAGGTCCGAGATCCTGCTATTCATCATTTCCCACGTCCTCTAATACCACCACCAACCACAACAACCACCTCTCAATAATCCTCTTCCAGGCGCTGCTTTATCTCCATCCCTGGTCCTGGGATCTCTGCACCCTCCTAGCTGTTATGTCATGCCGAGCCACCACAGTCGGCCACCCCACCCCCAGGCCAATAGTGATCCCTATAGTGCCCTCCAGCACCTCCAAATCTCCAGCCTCCAAGTTATCCTCCGCATCCCGCCCCCGTCCCTATCCCAACCACCATCATCGATCCCTCCACCGCCGTCCCTAACCCGATCTCCCATCACTGATTTCTTACTCCCGTCCCTAACGCGACCCCTACACCTTTCTCACCTGCAGCCCAGGAAGACGTGGTTGGTCCAGGCGGCGGAGAGCGCGAGGAGCTGGTCGAGGGCAGCCCCGGGATAGCTGTGCAAGTGCCGACAGATGAAGCTGCGCCGCAGAGCCCACTGCCAGTCACTTTCGTGGCTATAGCGCCACTGCTCCAACACTGGCTCGGGCGGGGGCGGCGGGAGGGGCGGCAGCGGCGGCGGCGGGAGGGGGGGCAGCGGCGGCGGCGACAGGAAGTCGCCCCCCAACAGCAGACGTCCTCCAGCCATCTTCTCCGCCCCCAAGCAGGGACCCCAGGGACGAAGCCGACTACGGACCGCGAGCTAGGCAGCTAGCAAGCCGGCGGAAACTGGGGGCCGGTGGGAGGGGCCGGGTGAGGAGGGGCGCGCCGAGGGGCGAAGACCAACTCTCGGGGGGACTGGAGTGTATGCGTGGGGGGCACCGTTAGGAGGAAATGAGGAGCACTAGCTCGCGTCCCGACACCGGGGTGCAAGCCCGCTGCACTCCTCCAACTCGTGGAGGAACAGAAGGGCTTCCGCTGCACTCACGCGCGAGCCGGGGAGGCCTAGTCAGGCTCCGCACCTCCACGGATCCGCTGACCCACGCACTGCGCGGAGAGCGAAAAAAGACCCCAGCACGCTCTGCTCCCTTCCTCTAGGCTCTAGCCTACCTACCCGCGTGCCGCCCGGGGTTGTGAGGCCAGTGCGCTTGCGCCGCGGCTGTTCACTAACTTCCGAATCCCGTCGCAGAGTCTCGCGCGACGTACTTTTTTCCCTCCAGTGACGGCTACGGGCCTTTGACGCACTACGCTGACAAGTAGAGGGCGGGGACTCCAGCAAGGGAATTTAGGAAGATTCTCGGAGGTTCGAGAATATGGTTAGACGGTGCTCTCAGGTGAATGTTGGGAGCCCATCGATCGTCTGATGCTTTTCCCTGGATTTCTAAGCAGCACGAGGGTGAGACCCTGTTCCTTGTAAGAGATTTAGGTCTGCCGTGGACTTTACATTCAAAACAAAACAAAACGAACTGTCAACCTTCCTAGGTGCCTTTTCTTCAGAGAGTAAGCTTGAAATGCTCTGTGCATCGTGCATCATTAGCTTTGTATAATAACTTACTGCGAAAACGTAGTAAAAATGAAACACTTTGCAAACAAAATCATCCACAGCGCCGCTTAAGTTAGCCACTTTTAAGTCCGTACGGCATCCCAATTGCTGAAGAACACAGGCACTTGTTTACACAGTTATGATCACGACTGCAAGTAAGTCTCTATTTCATATATCAACTTAAGTGCAAAAAGATTACAAGATTAAAAAAATTAAAATTAAAAAAAAAAGATTACAAGATAAAAGGGGCCCAGGGAAGAGGGTACTGTTCGGCCGCAAGCCGTTGGATCACTGTAGCCAAAGGTATGACTCCACCTGGAGTCGTCTCCACTCAGTAACTTCATTCCCTGTCTGCCAACCTGTGTCACGAAAGCAGTTTATCAATGAATGTCAGCGGGAATTTTCACAGCACCAACTGTGTGCTAAATACAGCAAGAATACGAAAAAAGAAGGAAAGCAAGTGGGATTTCTCTACTGTGCTGGAATTGACGACAGTCTTGGTCCCACCAGGAGCCGGACCATTGGATGAGGTGGTTTGACCCACTACCATCTTTAACTCTCTAATGAAGTATGTCTAATTCTGTGACACTTTATGTGTATGGGTGTATCGGACCAAGAGGAGCAGAGGATAACTGCACTTTTCACACTTCCATGATTTATTTCCATGTCTGTCTTTCTCTATGGTGGGCATTCATGTTTATTGGGGTAACAACTGTGTTTTTTGTTTGTTTTTGTTTTTTAAGACAGAGTCTTCCCCTGTTACCCAGGCTGGAGTGAAATGGCTTGATGTCGGCTCACCTCCACCTCCCGGATTCAAACGATTCTCCTTCCTCAGCCTCCCAAGTAGCTAGGATTACAGGTGTGTACCATACACCCAGATAATTTTTTTTTTTTTTTTTTTTAGTAGAGACGAGGCTTCACCATGATGGCCAGGCTAGTCTCAAACTCCTGACCTTGTGATCCTCCTGCCTCGACCTCCCAAACTGCTGGGATTACAGGCATGAGCCACCGTGCCTGGCCCAAACTGTTTTTAAAAAGTTCAAAAGGTGATACATGCTGTAAAGAAAATAAAACAGGCCAGATGTGGTGGTTCACGTCTGTAATCCCAGTACTTTGGGAGGCGAAGGCGGGAGGATCACTTGAGGTCAGGAGTTTGATTCCAGCCTGGCCAACATGGTGAATCTCATCTCTACAAAAAAAAAAAAAAAAAAAAAAGAAAAGAAAAGAAAAGAAAAAAGAAAATGGCCAGGGTTGGTGGCATGTGGTTGTAGCCCCAGCTACTCCAGAGGCTGAGGCAGGAGAATTGCTTGAACCCTGGAGGTGGAGGTCACAGTGAGCTGAGATTGCGGCAGTACACTCGAGCTTGGACGATAGAGTGAGACTCCATCTCAAAATTAATAATAATAATAATAATAAATAGGAGAGTGCAAAGGCAAATGGGGTAGAACACTAGATGGGGAGTCAGGTGACCTAAATTCTCATCTCATCATTGCCAACAACTATCTCTACAGCCTTCGGCAAGTCACTTCACCTCTCTGGCCTTATTTTTCTCACTCATACAATCATGACTTGATTTATGATCGCTAACCTTCCTTCTTAGTATTGTATTCTTTGATTTGCTGGTTCAGAGACTAACATTACCTCAATAAACATGAATGCCCATCATAGAGAAAAACAGACATGGAAATAAAGAATTCTGAAACTACAAAGTGCTTTTATCTGCTGCTCTTCTCAGTCCAATACACCCCTACACCTAAGGTGTCATATGGTTACAAATATGTCATGAGAGAGTTAAAGAGGGCACTGAGTCAAAGCTACCTCATCCAGTGGTCCTGCTGCTGGTGGGACATTTAGTTTTATATAGGGCTGTTTCTCCCTACCAAGCTTGTAATCAATTCCAGGACAACAGAGAAAAACCACTTTCTTTCTTTCCTTTCGGTTTTTTGGATGTAATCCACTGGAATGTCAGTTACATGAAAGCAGGGAACTTACCTGTCTTGTTAGCGCCTACACCTTGATCCTGTCGGCATTCAGAGATATTTGTTGAATTAAGTGGGTAAACGAATGAAGCTCTTCTCTTTGTCCCAACCTAGCGAAAATCACTTCCTTGGAGCCTACATTTTAAGCTGATTTGTTATTTCATAATTAGATTTATTTCGGCCTGCCATGGTTTGAGTGTGTCCCCTCCAAAATTGAAGTGTTGTAACTTAATGGATAATGTTATGGTATTAAATGGTGGGTCCTTTAAGAAGTCATTAAGCCATGAGAGCTCCTCCCTCCAGAATGGGATTAAGGCCCTAATGAAAGAGGCTTTACACAGTGTTTGGTCACTTGCCCTTTGCCTTCTGCCATGTGAGGATATAACACTCCTTCCCTCTGGAGGATGCAGCAACAAGGTACCATCTTGGAAGCAGAGAGCCGTCCCCACCAGACAACTAAACCTGTTGGTGCCTTGATCTTGGACTTCCCAGGCTCCAGAACACTGAGAAATACATTTATATTCTTTATAAGTTGCCCAGTCTCAGGTATCTTGTTATAGCAGCATAAATGGACTAAGACACAGTCTAAGTTGCCAACTTTCATGAAAATCAACATTGTAATAAATATACATCTTTCCTAGAAAACAATCTGTGAAAAGATAAACTTCTTCTTAGCCTGGATTAAAATTTTTCTGTTATATACAAACAAATAATTGTAATCTGACTTTTGAACTTGGATTACAAAACAAAAGGCAATGGAACTGATGTAAGAGCGCATCTGCTCTGGAACAACCATAACGGGATTTCATTTGTAAATCCCACTAAGGAATAAACAGTTTCATCCATAGAAAACAAATTTCCAGGATTCTCCATGTCCTTCCCTACCTGGTATCCTTCTGATTACAAGAAAATCTATCAGCCTATCTATTTTAGCCCATTCCTTTCTCACAGCCACAGATGGTTTCTCAGTGAGCAGGAGTTGAAACCCCTGAGCAGAAATACATTAGTTGAAGAGAGGTGTAGGTGTAGATAATAAAGGTCGCCATTACAATCCTAAACAATCCAGAAGGCCAGTCAAGGTAGCTCACACCTGTAACCCCAGCACTTTGGGAGGCCGAGGCAGACAGGTCACTTGAGGTCAGGAGTTCGAGAGCAGCCTGGCCAACATGGTGAAACCGCGTCTCTACTAAAAATACAAAAATTAGCCGGGTGTGGTGGCACACACCTGTAGTCCCAGCTACTCAGGAGGCTGAGGCAGGAGAATGACTCAAACCTGGGAGGTGGAAGTTGCAGTGAGCCGAGATCGCGCCACTGCACTCCAGCTTGGGCAACGAGCAAGACTCCATCTCAAAAAAGAAAAAAAAAAAATCCAGAAACCTCCTGTAATCATCTATCCTCCTTCCCTCCAATGCAGGCGTCTGTCACTGCCTTAAGACAGGCAACCCTGCCTTTGGACTGCTTTGAGCTTCCTTCCCTGCTTTTGCCTATAGGGGGAGTCAGTACGCAATGAAAAGATGAAAACTTGGAACCCGATGCAGCACCACTCCCATAAACGATCCGAAAAGTTCTTGGCCCGAGTATTCTGCACTACCATGTGTTCTTGAGGAATGTTTACTAACGGATTGAAAGCATAACTAGGAGTTCTCACTGGCCAACTGTGAGTAACGTGAGCACCAATATTATTAAAGACAGCAATGAATTATAAACCATTGAAAAATAGGGAGCCGTAAGTCTACAGTGATACCAAAAAGATAAATACTTTAGAGAAAAGGGAGGGCCTTTGCTTGCAGCCGAATACCATGTGCTAACTGGTAAATATGGAGGGAGTGCTGGGGTTAGGAAATCATCATTTTATATAGATTGGTCCAGGCAAGCATTATCAATAGATGCTCAATCCAAGGAGAATTTTTGATGAGGAGTAAGATATTTCCAGGAACTTAACAGTTTCTTTCCACAGATTGTTTATTAGTAGCAATAAAGAAAAAAAAAAAACAGTAATTATATCCTAGAGAAACTGGGCAACACCTTGACCTTAAATGAGAACATCATATTTTTAAAATAAGACTTCAAAAATATCAATGTCATGAAAGACAAACGAGGGCTATTCTAAACGAAAGGAGACTAAAAAGACAGGGCACGATGCATAAACCTAGACTAGATCCTGTACTGCAAGAAAAAATGCTATAAAGGATATTATTTGATAGATTAATTGATAACTGTCTGTGGTTATGAAAGAAAATATTATCTGGATATGTGGTGTAGATACATACATATGGGGCACAAAAATGATAAAGCAATAGGGCAAGATGTTATCAACTGGTGAATCTGGGTTAAGAGTATGTGAGTATACTTTGTACTATTCTTGTAACTTAATTTCAAAATGAATTGTTTAAAAAGTGCATTAGCTCCTGACATTGGTGAAGAATATAAATCTAGCTACCTCTTCTTTTTTTTTTTTTTTGAGATGGAGTCTCACTGTGTCGCCCAGGCTGGAGTGCAGTGGCGCGATCTTGGCTCACTGCAGCCTCTGCCTCCTGGGTTCAAGTGATTCTCCTGCTTCAGCCATTGGAGTAGCCTGGACTACAGACATGTGTCAACACACCGGCTAATTTTTTTGTATTTTTAGTAGAAATGGGGTTTCACCCTGTTGGCCAAGCTGGCCTTGAACTCATGACCTCAAGTGATCCTCCTGCCTCAGCCTCCCAAAGTGCTGGGATTACAGGTATGAGCCACTGCACTCAGGCTCACACCTGTAATCCCAGCACTTTGGGAGGCTGAGGCAGGCAGATAAAACGAGGTCAGGAGATCGAGACCATCCTGGCCAACATGGTGAAACCCCACCTCTACTAAAAATACAAAAATTAGCCGGGCATGGTGGCACACCTGTAGTCCCAGCTGCTCAGGAGGCTGAGGCAGGAGAATCGCTTGAACCAGGGAGTCAGAAGTTGAAGTGAGCCGAGATCGCGTCACTGCATTCCAGCCTGGCAACAGAGCGAGACAGTCTCAAAAAAAAAAAAAAAAAGTTCAACTAGAGGTGGGACTCGGTGGCTCAGGCCTATAATCTCAGCACTTTGGGAGGCCGAAGTGGGCGGATCTCTTGAGCTCAAGAGTTGGAGACCAGCCTGGGCAATATGGCAAAATCCCGTCTCTACAAAAAATAAAAATAAAATACATAGCTGAGCATGATAGTGGCCCCTGTAGTCTCAGCTACTCGGGAGGCTGAGGTGGAAGGATAGCTTGAGCCCAGGAGGCAGCGGTTGCAGTGAGCCATGGTCATGCCACTGCATTCCAGCCTGGATGATGGAGTGAGACACTGTCTCAACAACAACAACAAAAATGTTCAACTAGAAAGTTTGAAAATGGAGACGAGATCAGGGATCAGGATAGGTGGATGAGATCAAGAAAGTCTTCAGGTAGGACCTGAGCCTTGAAGATAGGATTTAAATCAGTAGAGCAGGCGTCCCCAAACTTTTTACAGAGGGGGCAAGTTCACTGTCCCTCAGACCGTTGGAGGGCCGCCACATACTGTGCTCCTCTCACTGACCACCAATGAAAGAGGTGTCCCTTCCTGAAGTGTGGCGGGGGGCCGGATAAATGGCCTCAGGGGGCCGCATGCGGCCCGTGGGCCGTGGTTTGGGGACGCCTGCAGTAGAGGCTATTTCAGACAGAGTCAACGAACAGTTTGTGTAACTCAGGGAGAGGTTTGTGCAGGGATGGAATAGACTGGACAGAATGAATATTAGGAAGTATTGGAAAACATGCTTGAGTAGATACAAGGGGCCTGTCCACAAGTTCCCCAAGGGCAGCATCTAATTAGATCTCAGGCAAAAAGATTTAATTAACTGCTGGGTGCACTGGCTCACGCCTGTAATCCCAGCACTTTGGGAGGCTGAGGCGGGACGGTCACTTGAGGTCAGGGATTAGAGACCAGCCTGACCAACATGAGGAAACCTGTCTCTACTAATAATACAAAAATTAGCCAGGTGTGGTGGAGGGCGGGGGGGCCTGTAATCTCAGCTACTCCAGAGGCTGAGGCAGGAGAACTGCTTGAAGGGGCCCGGGGAGGTTGCAGTGAGCTGAGATCATGCCACTGCACTCCAGCTTGGGCGACAGAGCCAAGACTGTCTCAAAAACAACAACAACAAAAAAAAAACCAGTCCTATATGTTGTAACAGTGACTATTATGTTACATAGATATTAAGCCCAGGGCACAGACTTTCTAAAGCCCAAGGCAAATAACCTAAGAGGTAGTGCAAGAGGTGGATGGCTACAATGGTAAGTAACAACACCACTATGAGGTCCTGCTGTCCCAATGCATAACTGTCTCAAGGGGTGCCTTCGTTTTAAAAGAATGGCCTTGCAAGAAAGTTGTTCTTTTAGCAGAAAGATGAATCTCCCTAAATGGGAACATTTCAAATCGGAGAGGACATTTTTAACCTCAATGCGGCCAAGTGGAGCCCTGGGTTGCTTGGCCTTTTTGAGGGTATAAGAGACTCATGTTTTTTCTTTCTTTCTTTCTTTTTTACTGCTAACAGCAAGATATATAAATGCATTGCTTATATACAACAGGCAGTCCTTAACTAGTTTTATTAAGGTACTCCAGAGAGATCTGTTAGGTGCAGGTAAGCCACAGGCCAAGGAAAAAAGGAGAAGAAGAGAACCCTTCATGAAAGCCAAGAGACTCATTCTCCTAGAAGCAGGTGGCATTCTCAGATGTTCAGCAACTTCTCTCCCCGGGAAATGGCTCTGGTCACCACAGCAGACCCACGCCCCGCCCCCATTGATGCGCTAGCAACGCTGTATGCAAATTTTAATAAATGCAAACCGATTCCCCTCACCCCTACTAATTTGTATTAAAATTCCAGCGATGTGTCTTCATTTCTTTTTCTTCTTCTTCTTCTTTTGAGATGGAGTCTTGCTCTGTCACCCAGGCTAGAGTGAAGTGGTAACGATCTCGGCTCACTGCAACCTCTGCCTCCCGGATTCAAGCAATTCTCATGTCTAAGCCTTCTGAGTATCTAGGACTACAGGTGCCCACCACCATGTCTGGCTAATTTTTGTATTTTTGGTAAAGATGGGGTTTCACCATATTGGTCAGGCTGGTCTCAAACTTCTGACCTCAGGTGATCCGCCCACCTCGGGGGTCCCAAAGTGCTGGGATTACAGGCGTGAGCCACCACGCCCGGCCAGGACTTCTTTTTGTTTGTTTATTTTTAAGGTGGAGTCTTGCTCTCGTCAGCCAGGCTGGAGTGCAATGACAGGATCTCGGCTGACTGCAACCTCCACCTCCTGGGTTCAAGCGATTCCCCTGCCTCAGCCTCCCGAATAGCTGGGATTACAGGTATGTGCCACCGTGCCCGGCTAATTTTTGTATTTTTAGTAGAGATGGGGTTTCGCCATGTTGGCCAGGCTGGTCTCAAACCCCTAACCTCAGGTGATCCACCCACCTCAGCCTCCCAAAGTGCTGGGATTACAGGCGTGAGCAACCGCGCCCGGCCTCTAGAGACGTTTTAAACACAACTTGCCTCTAGAGCACACAGTTCACAAGTGTATAGGACTCCAGGGCTTGTAATTTTCCATAACGTCTTAGTGCCAGCCTCTGCTCAGTGACGTCACAAACGTCACAGACGTATTGTGTCACTCGGCTGCCCCCTAGTGTGCGAGCTGCGCAGAGCCAGGCCTATGTACGGGGGTACTTTCTGAGGCCTCCAGGCCTCCGTACCGAGAAGATACCCGCCCTGATTTCTGCACCCTGGCCCTTAGGGAAACGAAGGTGAGGAAAGTTCGTTTCCCTAAGGGTCACCAGGGTTCTTTAAAGTGACGGCTCTCTCTGTTGCCCACTTTAATGCTTGGGAGGATGGGAGGATGGGAGGCTCCGCTCTCTGGTAGCCCCAGGACACAAAATACTTAGTATCTATAGAATGCTTTTCAAGTCGTGAAGAGCAGTCATAGCCATATATCCGTGAATTTTGGGGGATGCTTACATCCCAGGATTACATGAGAGAAGACACGTGGTGGAGTTCTTTTCCTTCCAGAATTAAAACTCACCTGAATCTTGTTCTGTAGGATCTGGCACTCCACTTCCTCCGTCTAATATACTAGATGATAATCAGCCCAACTTAGTTGAATCCATGCTAATAAAGAAAAAAGTAGAGGACTTCCTGCCCACCTCCACCCCGCTGTGGTGGGAATTTCAGGCCCAGATGAAAGAAAGTTGGAGGAAGCACGCACAGGGGATGGCAACCCACCTAGGAAGGTTTCATAGGCTGGTGGTGCCTCCCTAAGCCCTTCAACAAGTCACCCGCATCACCCAGTGACAAGATCAGATCACACAGCCATTTAGCATTTCTTTGAATTTTATTGAAAATTGACATGGACATTAGAAAGGTATCAAGCTAAACAGTGCTGGTTCTGGGATGTTTCTCCTGGAGAATGAAAGCCCCAGAGGGGCAGTGACTGGTCACACCTTTGGGCAAAAAGAACAAAGGAGAAGAAAGGAAAAACACACACAGATTCTGGCAAACATGCAAAGAGGCTCTCTCAAGAGATATTGAACAGCAGAATGGTGGTAGGGATATATGGAATGGGCACGCTCACATGGTATTTTGATGCAAGTTAAACCAATGAGTTCAAGGCAGATTTACCAACATCAAAGCTCTCCCTCCAGATCCTAGGTTGAGCAGAAACGTCTCTCAAAACCCCAACTGGTCTCAGAAGGTTGAATGGAGTAATTTTGCTCTCACTAAGCTTAAACCCCCTCCCTTCTCTCCCTTCTCCACCTGAGTGTTAGTGGATCCATTTTTCCCCCTTGCTGGAGTCTACAGAAGGTCTGTGAATGCTGAAGAAGATACATACGTCACTTGACTTTCTCTTCCACATTCAGAAATGTTTAACAGTGGCTGTAGACAGTCAACCCATTGAACCAGAGAAATGTTTAAAAGAAAAACATGAAACTCAAAACCTTGTGAACAGTACTTCCACACCCACAGCTGAGGTGTCCTGCCCCAGTCACTTACACTTGGGTGAGTGGTCCTGTCGTTGTTTCTCTGAGGTTACATTTGGTCCATTTTCCAGCTCTGATGGTTCTTTTCCTGCCTTGTTAGTTAGGACAAAATACTTCCATTTAAAATACCATGTAAGTCAGAAGAGAGCTTCTTGCCTGGACACAGGGACACATGAACACTTGTTGAGTGCTGTGGTGTATGTGTGTGTGCTGGCGGTTTGAGGGGAGAGGGAACTGGTTCATTTCTGATTTGAGACAATATGGAGCCCTAACTCTTCTATAATGGCAGTCTTCTCCTTTAGACTTAGTGCAGCTGCTGAAGACAAGATTAAAAAAAGCTGGAGAGGGAGAGAGAAAGAGAAAGAAAACATGAAATTAGCCAAAGAAAGAGGACACTCAAAGTAAGACAGGGGGAGGGATGTGGGCAGTATGAGGTAGCACAGATTATAGTTTGAGAAGACAGGTTAGAAATGGGGGTCACTGATAGGCCATCACCATGGGGAAATCTATGCAGTTTTAAGAACACCACACAAGAGTTTAAAGCTTCTTGTTTTAATTAAAAACAAGCACATATTAACAGCCACATATGAATGCCAAATGATTAAAATAAAAAAACAAAAACAAGAGCCATCTACACTGCAGCTAGGGAAAGCAAACTTGGCATAAGAGAAGTGAGAGGGTGTGTGTGTGTGCGCGCGCGCGTGTGTGTGTGTGTGTGTGTGTGTGTGTGCTGTTTCAGAAAAGCCACTCCAGTCTGGGAAAATAAAAGCACAGACCATTTCTAATGACTGGTTTTGTTTCACCAGAGGTAAACAGAGTACTAACGGTATGTTTTTTAAAAATAGTAACAGCTGTACTAATTAAAAGCCTTTTCATTGAAGGAGGAAAAAATCTGTCTAAAGTGAGAAAAGCTATCCAATTAAATACACACTTTAATAGGCTTGATCAACTTTTTAAATTACATTCACTCACGGGTTAGATTTTTGTTTATCAAGTTCCCTGATTATAAGGGTCACCTAGGGCACCTTTTCCACACAGTCTCCTGGACCCCATTCCAGCCTTGCAGCATCACTGGGTTAAGAAGCTGGCCCATTATGCCTTTGCTTTGCCACTCCTCACTCACTCCATCTTCAGATGTTTTTCTGTGGGAAAAAACTCAAGGGTCTTCTAACACTAACTACTCAGTTTCTCTGATCATCAAAAGACCTCGTCTCCAGGAACATATATAAGCAGATTGAATCTCTTTGTGAAATGGATTGGGAGTCAGGAGGCATGGAAATTAGTCTGGCTTCTGCGTTGAAACAGCAGTGGGACCTCAGTCAAGTCACTTCCCTTCTCTGGGCCTTCAGTTCCCCTTCCAGACTTAAGTAGGTCCTATTGTCTTACCAACTAAAATGTCTCCCTTAATGTAAAACTCCTCCTTAGTTTCTGAAGGTCTCCCCAAGGCTGTGCGGGTCTAATACTTTTGAAGTATTCAGAGCTTCTCAAGACTTAATCTGTACACAAATGCAAATGAGGGCGCCTCAGGTTTGCAATGCAAATAATTACCGGGCGGGTGAGAGGGCTGATGATTACCGGTTGGCTGTTTAGGTGTGAATTTCTGGGAAAGCAGCTCTGAAGCTGGACACAGAATCATCAAAGTTGCAAATAAGAAGACTTTCCCAAGGAGACCTGACAGGCCTAACTCAGCATCTCTCTGAGCTACTGGCTCAGTATCTGAGCAGCTTTTTTTTTTTTTCTGGTTGTTGGTTTGTTTCTACCTCCAAGCATACAGTCTTAAAAAAAAAAAAAAAAAAAAAAAAAAATACTCCACCGTGACTTGAATTTTCCCAGGAAACTGGCTTGTGCTTTGGCATCACCTTCGTACTTACTCTGGTCACTCATCAATCAGTAGATCACCAAATGGCGCACAGCAAACCTTTACTCTTGCTTTGCCAGCAAGCAAGTGCATATGTTTGCTTTTCATTTTTCTTTTCTTTTCACTTTCTATTATAATCTATAATTGAGGCAAGAAATCCCCTTCCTCTTCTCAATACTTTGAAAAGGCCTGGAAATTTGGCATAATCTTGTTTGACTGTGTGCTTTGAAAGTAAGTGATCAAAAAAAGAAACTCAAAAAAAAAAAAAAAAAAAAAGAAGAAGAAGGTGGTGGTCACAGTCAGTGCCAGGGGACTGGGAGGCCGGAGCAGGTTGCAGAACTCAAAAAGAAGAAGTGAGCTTGAAGTACATGGCAGGGTAGGGGTGGGGGGCCTGGCTGCCTGGCACCCCGAAGGAAAGCTGTCAGTTAAAATAGGAACCTTGGCTTAAAAGGCTAAATGGAGTCCAGTCCAGCTGTAGCGGGGAATACTATTCAGTACACAGCCATGGGTTACTGCAAAGGAAGGGCAGAGAGACGGCATGTTAGCCACAGATCATTGCCAGGTCAACTCCAACGCTCACTCTGTCACTGGCCAAACCCCAAAGACCACTGTGCCTCGTAACCCTGACAAGGGAGGGCTCTGTACTTCACAGAGGTTCACAAAGCCACTATCAGATGAGACCCATGATAAAAACTAGGGCTGGAATATTTTTAGACTCTCAACTCCTTAGATTGGAAACAAAGTGAAGGGCCTTCCAAGCTGGAACACCTCTTATCTTCTCTCCAGCTGATAGTCTCATCTCTTCTTATTGGGGGATGCATGCAAAATGCATGTGAAAAATCATCATGACGTTCACTGAGTGAACTAGAAGACTCATCAGAGCAAACCTGCAAACACTTGATTCTTTGACAGCTCAGTTTTCCAGTCTACAAAGTGGGATTTATTGTTCCTGCTACTGGCCTCATCCTATTGGGATGGCATGGAGCCCTTCCGGAAATTACCCCGAGATACCTCACAAGAAGAATTCAGTAAGGCTATCATTCAAGACTCTAGACTGGTAATAATATTCAGGTTTATTCTCCCTTTTGCATCTGTGGGATACCCAGAGTTAGAGGGTAAACGCCTGCTATTTTCTCCAGCAGTTGTGTTTTATGGGAAGGGTTTGGTGTAAATAAATGTGTTGCAAATTTTGAGCACAGCTTGAGTGCAGTTACTTTGGGGAGTTGGTGGGGAAGAGTAGCAGATGGGCCCCCTGACTATGTCGCACCTCTGGCAAAGATGGCGGGGAAGACAGGGGGAATGGTTGGGGGTGCCGGGATGGGGACTGGGAAGCAGGATGCATCTGTGAGCCACATGACTGTTGGCTTCTTGACCAGCGGCCAGACATCGTCCTCAGACTCTCAGGTTTCTATAAACCTTGGCAGGAAGAGAGGAGAGGGACCGGGTTGGATGGTATGCCCCCCGGGCATGTTAAGGGGGAAATTAGAGAAAGGGAGGCACAGCTCTGTTGCGCAGGTAAAGGGTTTCTACAGGAAGCCCAAACTGAAAATGAAAAGAGAAGCTGAGTTAATGAACAGATAGATTAATGTACCAAAAAAAAAAAAGGTCAGAAGAAAATTAAGTCATGAGGACTAATGGCTAAATTAGAATATAGCTATGTTAGATGGTCTTAAAAGTCTTATTGCATTGGCTCCAGGGAACATACTTTCTCTCTCATACACTCCACACACTCCCACATGATGGCAGCAGTGGCATTAGCCAGCAAAATCATGATCTACAACCACAGAAATATTTTTTGTCTCTTCTTTTTTTTTTTTTTTTTTTTTTTTTTTGAGACAAAGTTTCGCTTTTGTTGCCCAGGCTGGAGTGCAATGGCATGATCTTGGCTCACCGCAAGCTCTGCCTCCTGGGTTCAAGCAATTCTCCTGCCTCAGCCTCCCAAGTAGCTGCGATTACAGGCATGTACCACCATGCCCGGCTAATGCATTTTTAGTAGAGATGGGGTTTCTCCATGTTGACCAGACTGGTCTGGAACTCCTGACCTCAGACCTCAGGTGATCCGCTGCCTCGGCCTCCCAAAGTGCTGGGACTACAGGCATGAGCCACTGCACCCTGCCATCTCTCTCTCTCTCTCTCTTTTTTTTTTTTTTTTTTGAGACGGAGTCTTGCTCTGTCGCCCAGGCTAGAGTGCAGTGGCATGATACCGGCTCACTGCAACCTCCACCTCCCAGGTTCAAGCGATTCTCCTCCCTCAGCCTCCTGACTAGCTGGAATTACAGGTGTGTGCCATCATGCCCGGCTAATTTTTTGTATTTTTAGTAGAGACAGGGTTTCACCATGTTGGTCAGGCTGGCCTCAAACTCCTGACCTTGTGATCCGCCCGCCTCGGCCTCCCAAAGTGCTGGGATTACGGGCGTGAGCCACCGCGCCCGACTATCTCTTCTTAATGACTAGGTCCTGACTAATGTTCCCCCGTCACCACCCAATACCTTCTACAGGAATACCTTCCGAAAATCTCCGGGTGGCCTCAGGCCACTGGATAGAGCCCCAGACTCTAGCTACTGCATTTTCTGTCCCAAAGGGAAAGGAGAGGAGGCGAAGGTTTCACCCCAGGAGGCCCTCAGAACTGTCCTAGTCAGCTACCTGGTACTCTGGGGCAAGGCCTGTTTGCAAAGTGTGTGGGGCTGGTACCTGAGAACTTGAGCTATGGAAACCCATCATGGGTTTGCGCTTAAATAATACTTTGACTTCTCTTCCATGTAAATTTCATTCCTGTGACATAAATACAGCAAGTAGGACTGATCCCCATTTGACATATAAGTAGACTGAGAAACAAAGAAGTCAATAGACTTGCCTGTGGCTGCAAAGAAAGAGTCACAGTTGGGCTCAGAGCTGTTTATGTAAGACTCTATCACATGCAATTTCCCTGAGAATTCCTTGGCTATGAATCTAAGCCCTATTTATTACCCGAAGAATTAATTTATCCCATTAAATAAAGACTATTAGATATCTGGCAGGGATAAAAATATGGGCATAAATGAGTATGTTTTACAGTCACTTCCTCAAAGGGAATATACTCCCCCACACACACTTTTAAGTTATACACACACTGAGGTGAATGGTAATTTATAACAGAAAATAGGAGTTCTGCCACCAACTCACTGTGTGGTCCTTGGTAAGTTCCTTAAATTCTCTGCTCCTCCATTTACTCTTTTTTTCTTCCCAAAGTGCTGGGATTACAGGTGTTAGCCACTGCGCCTGGCCACTCTTTTTTTAAAATAAATATAGAGATGGGGTTTCACCATGTTGCCCAGGCTGGTCTCTAACTGCTAGGCTCAAGTGATCCTCCCACCTCAGCCTCTTAAAGTGCTACGATTACAGGAGTGAACCATTGTGCCTAGCCTCCATTTACTCATTTTGTAAACTGGGGATTATTCCTTCTTTTTTTTTTTTTTTTTTTTTTTTTTTGAGACGGAGTTTCACTCTTGTTACCCAGGCTGGAGTGCAATGGCGCGATCTTGGCTCACTGCAACCTCCATCTCCTGGGTTCAAGCAATTCTGCCTCAGCCTCCCGAGCCGAGTAGCTGGGACTACAGGTGTGCACCACCATGCCCAGCTAATTTTTGTATTTTTAGTAGAGACAGGGTTTCACCCTGCTGACCAGAATGGTCTCGATCTGTTGACCTCGTGATCCACCCGCCTCGGCCTCCCAAAGTGCTGGGATTACAGGCATGAGCCACTGCGCCCGGTCGGGATTATTCCTTCTTACCACATAGACCTGTTATAAGTGTAAAATGAGATGCCATACAAAAAACAAAAACACTTTGGAAAGTAAAAAAAGCTATACAAATTCTCATCTTTTTTTTTTTTTTTTTTTTTTTTTTTGTAGATGGAATCTTGCTCTGTCACCCAGGCTGGAGTGCAGTGGTGCCATCTCGGCTCATTGCAACCTCCGACTCCCGGCTTCAACCCATTCTCCTGCCTCAGCCCCCCAAGTAGCTGGGATTACAGGCATGCGACACCACACCCAACTAATTTTTATATTTTTAGTAGAGAGGGGGTTTCACTATGTTGGCCATGTTGGTCTTGAACTCCTGACTTCAGGTTATCTGCCCGCTTTGGCCTCCCAAAGTACTAGGATTACAGGCGTGAGCCACCGTGCCCAGCCTCATATCTTTTTATTCTTTGTCTACTTCCTAGGGGAAGAGTAACCTAAAAAGTACTGCAATGGCCTGTATTCTAGTTTCACAGGAAAGCTGATATAGTTTGATGTTTGTATACTATCCATATACTGTGCACTCCTAAGGACCAATAACAATTGAGGTATAGTATCTGCAAATATGTTGGAGGGAATCACAAAGGAATCGCTTTTACAAATGCAGTGCCTCAAGCAATTTCAAAATGTGGGGGCACAGTAAGCCTCAGTGCCTGCATTCTAGGTGGCCTTTATGATCCACCCCTAGCATGAGGGCTTTGAGGAGGGGGCGGGTTGCCTTTACTGCTTTCAGATCCTGGCAGCCCAAGCCTCCCCTGACTAGTTGGTCTGGAACTGCTTTCGTGGCCTACCAGGGAGAAGCCTGCCAGGGAGAGCCAACCTACTTGGAGTTGGGGTTGGCTATTCCAGCTGGTTGCCAATTGCGTCTCACTTGTAAAGTGTAGCTTTAATTATAGTTTTGCCAGAGTTCACTTTAGGAATGGCCACTACAATGATTTACTTGGGGAAACCTGTATGCAATTGTGTCAAGCCACGTGCAATGAAACCTGAATAAACTTAAATCTCACAAACTAGAATACATATTTGCTGCTCTCCTCATTACAAATGGGGAAACAGCCAGGCATGGTGGCTGATGCCTGTAATCCCAGCACTTTGGGTGGCTGAGGCAGGCGGATCACGAGGTCAGGAGATAGAGACCATCCTGGCCAACATGGTGAAACCCCGTCTCTACTGAAAATACAAAAATTAGCTGGGCTTGGTGGCATGAGCATGTAATCTCAGCTACTTGGGAGGCTGAGGCAGGAGAATAGCTTGAACCCGGAAGTTGGAGGTTGCAGAGAGCCGAGATCACGCCATTGCACTCCAGCCTGGCGACAGAGAGAGACTCCGTCTCAAAACAAAAAACAACAGAAAAATGGAGGAACAAAGAACATAACGCATGAACCAAGGTCCTATTACATGACAGGCACTTCGCCAGGCACTGAAACTACACTGCAAAGAATGGACAGACATTCTAGGAATTGACTGTCTTCCTAAATGGAAATTTGCTGTTTAATTTCAGTCAACTAGCAGGGGCACCAAGACTTGCTGTTAAGCCAGACAGTAAATCAAGTCATTGTTCTTTCAAGATTGTTTCCTTTGGCCCAGTTTCATGGGCCTTATGTTGCAGAAACCTCTGTGGACTTCCTCTTCAGGATTTGCTTCCAAGCAGGATGTTTTGCCAGCTGCCCCAAGTCCCCAGTGCAATAGCTGCAACAATCAGTTTGGTGACTAACAGCAGGCTTTCCATTTAAATCA